AGACACTGAACTATTATTTCATCTTAATGGAAGCCACCTACTTATCCTGAATGTGCTTGGATTTACACTTCCAGGGCCAGTTGCAAAGATTCGGAGTACAAAAAAATTTCGGACAAGATCATATTTCTTCACTTGAGGGACAGGAATTGAATTTTTATCTTGATCCTGGGCAAACAGAATGTACACATTTATGCCAATTTTGTGGAATCATAATAAAGAGAGACCATATCTAGCAGCCTAGCTTTATATGTGAGATAAGCTTTATATCAACCCATGTACATTTATTTGTCATGGACTGAGCCACCAAAATCCTGGTCATTTGGTCATCATAGGTAAGTTGCCACATTCAAAATACTCCACCAAGTGACTAGTGAACTAATTAGTATTTGGTACTAGTTGGCATTTCTGTATCCACAAGAATCCATGTTTCCTTGGGGATCTGAAGCAGGTTAATTAATTGAAGTGTCTATGTGGTTGAGAGTCTTATCATTAAGGACTGTGTTTGCCTATCTATTGCCTTTTAAAAGGAGTCTGGAGTATATCATTCATTCTAATGAGTGCAATACAAGAAGTTTATAGAAAGCACTATGGATTTGCAGAGGGCTCAACAACACTTCTGTCACACAGCAGTGAGATATGGAGGGCTTCCTGAAGAAGGCAGGTTTTGAAAGGAAATGGTAGTTTACTACTCTGATAATGGGAACATGTGCGCAAAGGAGAAGATCCTTTGGCAAAGGATGCTGAAGAACTGAATGTACCGGTGGCATGGAGGCGGGAATGCTCAGAGACAGTGAGCCATTTGCAAAGTTTCTTATTTGCATGATTGAGAAGAGTGTGAGAGGGTGGGGAAGTCAAACATGTGAAGATGTAGAACAGGGCTAGAAGTCTAAGGCCTTGAGTAATAAGGAATTATCTAACTGAACTCACGCTAGGGTTCAGTTGTCATCCACTGTCATTGTTTTAACAGCACAGTGGGCTCTTAAACATTTTTGAACTATAATGTCTTTAGTGAGACAGGAGGAGGAAGGCCAAGCAGATGCTGAAGACTTGAGATGGGATGTGCTAAAGCTCAGAGTGATGGCATAGATAAGGGGCCAGGAGCATCAGGTTAAGGAAGTTGCAGGTGAACAATACTCGCCATAATCTAAAGGTACAGAGGAACAAAATTTTTAGACATGAATGGTTTCCCAACACAGAGAAAAGGGTTGTTAGAATAAAATGGAAGAAAGCATGCACGATGAATTCAAGACTGGAGAAAGTTCAGATGTTAATAATATGACAAGGTAAATAGATACACATACATCAGAGGAAACAGACAAACCTTAGCATGGCTATATAACTAGAAAGAACTCGAAGTCTGGGCTGTTTGAAGACAGGGATGGTTAGTATCTCTGAAAGATACGGGAAGAAGGAGCTTTAATGGCAGAGGATGTTGAACAGAGATGATGTTAGCATTCTGAAGAGGACAGAAAGACATGGGGTTATGAAACCTGACATGTCCTAGGCCAGGATGGGAGGCAGTGACAGCAGTTGGTATTTGCCTCTGTTTGCCCCGGTTTCTGAGTGGGTGATCTTTGATTTGTGGAGTCCCATCATAGACGTACCAGCACAACATCAAGAAAAGTGGGCCATGACTTCCTCTCTGTAGCAGCTCTGTTCTTTCTAAGCACACATTTCCAAAGTGAACAGGAGACCTCCCCTTCAGAGGGTCATCTTCCAGGGCAGAGGAGATGGCTTGATAATGAGGGCCTAACATCTCATGAGTGGCAAGCAAGCCCAAAGGGGTCTGAAAACCGCCATCTCATACTTTTCATGTTAGAAAGATGATTGTACTGACCTGACAATGTGAAGTATTAGGTAACCCTCTTCGAAGATTATCAGACCCGCTTTTAGACCTTATCTAAGATGTATAAATATCTGTGTGTTGTTGCAAGTGGGGAGGAATGGGAGATACTTGCTCCTTATAGTCTAGCCACCTGCCTTTAGTGAAGAAAGAATGAGCAGGCATGGTAGCTCATGCATGCAGTACCAGCCCTTGGGAGAATGAAGTAAGGTTGCTGCAGATTTTAGGGCAGCCTACACTTTAAGACTCTGCCCTGCCCCTTCCTCCTAAAGGCTTTGTAGGAAATGACCACCATAAAGTGGGGTAGGCCATGATCTCGTGAGAGAAAATTTGTTTCCATGAGCAGTAAGAAAACCAATTAGGAAAAAGGAAGGACTTCGGGGGAAGTTCACAGCTTATGCTGGTGAGCTGCAGCATTTCCTGCACTCACTGGAAAGTGTCTCATGACTGTACCGAGTCCTGTTTACACGCATGTTTAAGTCTTCAGCACTCTTCTCTTTGAATAAGTGAAGGAATGCTTCTTTGCCCTGAGTTGTGGTAAAAGAGAGATCCGTAATATAAAGCTTGAGGAAGGAGCAAAGGAGCACAATCAGGTTTGCGACAGTCTCTTAGGGTGACAAAACGCCGTGACTAAAGCAACTTGAGGGGAAGGGATTTATTTGGCTTTATACTTATCACTGTCCACCATCAAAGGAAGTCAGGACAGGAACTCAGACAGGACAGGAACCTAGAGGCAGGAGCTGATTCAGAAGCCTTGGAGGAGCGCTGCTTCCTGGCTTGCTCCCCATCGCTTGTTTAGCCTGCTTTCTTAGAGAATCTACAACCACCTGCCCCCGGCATGGCCCTACCCACATTAATCACTAATTAAGAAAACACTTTACAGGCTTGCCTGCAGCCTGATCCCTTGGGGGCCTTTTCGCAACTGGGATTCTGTCCTCTTAGATGACTCAAGCCTGGGTCAAGTTGGCATAGTTAGCCAGCCCACAGGGAATCTTTGAAGTTATGAAGAGATAGAACCAGGATGTCTCTCACTTTCTCCTCAAGAAACAACTAGTTTTCAAAGGTGCGAATGTGGCTGTGATGGAAGAATACTAAAACAAACTCACAAAATCAGTCTAAAGGCAAAGTGGCAAGCAGGCACCCTGCAAGGCGGCTAACACAAACAATGAAAACCATCCTACTGTTGTCCTTGAATGAAATAGTGTCAGGCAGCAAAGCCCATACCAGCCCTCTTCTCTATGATGTTCACTCACACAGCCTTCCAAAGACAGGATGCCTATGTGTTACATTTCCTCCTGTATATGTGATCTCCAAGGTTAGAGTTTATAAGCAAAAAGGGAGAGACGAGATAAGTAGAGGACTACACACTTTTCTCAAAGTTGGGGGGAAATGTCCAATATATTTGGTAAAACCCCAGGCAAGCAGGAGCTCCTCTGGGTTTCTGAGTCATTAAAAAACGCTGCAAAAGGGCTCAAAAATTCCAATAGATTTATTTATAGATGCTCCTAGGAGGGGTCAAGTGTGGCAGAACTGAGGGGATTTTAGGATTATTTCCAATTGTTTTGTTAGCTCAGGAGCACACTAACTAACTTTCAGAGAAGGGGACTTTAATTTATTTGAGAAGGTAGCATCTTGAAAATGTTAATAGTGTTGCGTTAACTATGCCCATGCTACATGCTGCCAACAAGAAACAGCATAGCATCAGCTCGCTTACAAATTCCGTGCAATAAAAAGCAAAAGGGTACAGTACATTTACCAACTTAACATTTAAAATCCATTTTCCGTAGCCAAATATGTCAGTCTAGTGATGCCAGTGGCAGGCAATGAAATTTCAATTTGTTGTTGTTGGCATTACCGTACCAATAAGCATGAACCAGAACCCTGCATAGCGTGGGTAATTCTAACTCGACTTGGTTTCAAAGACTCTTCATATTAAAGTTCAAAGACCGTATTAACAGGTGGTTCCTTTAAAAATCCATCACAGGCAATGCACTTAGGCCTTCTCACCTTGTAAATAAAAACATGGCTTTCCACCTTTCATTATGAAGTTAGCATCTATGTGTGCCCAGCAACATGAAATCTGCCAATACACAGAAAGTGTACAATAATAACAAGGTGTGTCTTTAAGACTTAAACATTATCGTCATCATTATTATTTGTGTATATGTGCAGTGATGGATAGTGAATCTGAGCTGGGCTTTGTTGTGCATGCTAAAGAGGGCTCTGCCATTGAGCCTAAATGGCTATATACCTGGGGAGATACCTGTTGGGATTATACAACTATTTTAGTCCCAGGGAATGGAATTTAATGCTGGGCAAATGCCTCCCCCCTCCCTGTATTACCAACAACTCCTATGAACATATAAACTGCTAATGTGTGAAATTGGGACAGTACAAAGGTTTATTTATTTTTCTTCTTCCTAAATAACGTGGTCTTAGCTGAGTCACATGGCTCAGATCTATAAATTTTAGCTCTCTTGGAAGTCAAAGCAAGAAGAATTCAAGGTCAACGCTTGTATGGACAACAGTGAGTTTGAGGCTACCCTAGGCAATTCAGTGAGACCTTGTCTCAAAATAAAAAGTAAAAATAATGTGAATACAGCTTGGTGGTAGAAAACTTGCCCAGATGGGGGCTTGGCTCAGTCTTCACTATTGCAAATACAGTAAAACGGTCTCCATCACGGACCACATATGTGCACAGTGTATCATGGTTACCTCTTTTCCTGTACATAGTTTTATTTGGAAAGTGACCTGAACTTTTTGTTGCACTAAAAACAAATAAGACCCATTAAAAATAAAATAAAAACACCTGATAAAAATCTTAAGACAAAGTATATGTATTTAATTAGTTTTCTTTTGGAACATTGTATAAACTCCAGTCTAAAAACAAAAAAATGTAGTAATGGTCATTCAGTTACATACTGAGAAATGGAAGACAGAGCACAGGCCAACTGTCATTTTGAGCTACGCTTTAATTACATGTTTCTAAATATACTAACGTTCTGGTCAGTTGCCTATTTTTTTCCCTTCATTTTTCTGAGACAGACAGAAATCTATTGCTTGTGTTAATTTTTTCGTTTTAAATGACCTGGGACTTGACATTTAAATGGAAAATCTAAAAAACCAGAGAAAACCCACAAAAATAAGTCATTTCAAATTAGAGACAATGCATTTTTCTCATTTATTCAAATTCACTGCAGGAAATAAACACTAAGAGATTAAAAAAACAAAACAAAAATTCACACTTCAGTATGTACAATTCATGACATCATATGAAGAAATTAAATTTCTAATAAAAATGGCAAATTATGTTACTAAAGGAAATTGCATCAAAACTGGCTGTAAACCCCAGAATTCTTACCATGAATGGCACTGTGCCTGTATTCCAGCATTTAGGAATGCTGGAGTACTCCTGGTTATAATGTTTCCAACGGGAATTTATGATCCGTGAAGTTGTGTGAATTCTTTATGTTGAAAAGTGGTTGATTTTTTTTTTTAATTGAGACCCTGGGATTCAGAGCAAAATCTCTCACAGAGCTGAAGCCACAGAAATCATGTCCAGAAATGGAATACTGTCAGGTTGGGATGGATATCTGATCTGACTTGGTAAGACTTTTTTTTTTTTTTTTTTTGCCAAATGCACAGATGCATAGGGTTCCCCATGCACTTTTCATGCAGCAGTTAATCACAACTTAAATAAAAGTTTTATTTTATACATTTGTCCAGACTTGCAACTGTATACATACATGCACAATTTTTTTAAACCTGTCTGATTATATTTACACTTATACATGGAATATACAGGAACCAAAGAAATTAAAAGGTTTTTCTGTTGCATTAGAACAATACAAAATATGTCTTTTTTTCATTAAGGAAATCACTATTTACATAACCTTTAAAAACCAATTTTAACATCTTCATGTAACAAGTCAATATATATATATACACATTATATATATATATAGAAAATATATGCTCTCACCAGTTCATTCTTCTGTAAGATGTGGCAGAGAATAAACAGGTAATGCTACCTTATTGATGTCAATGAAAGTTGTAGTACCCTTTCACAAATGACTTTATTAGGAAGAAATTGCCTAGATATCGAAAATAGTCCTTGAAAATGTGTAAGTGTGCAAATTTGAAACCACATATACATAAACAAAGTAAATTTGTGAATGTATGTATGTATGCCCTTTCTCTTCATTAAGATGACTCTAAACTCAATGTGGGGGTGTTCTGTAGTTAGTCAGAACGGCATTCTTTATAGTCATATTTATTTCTGTATTACATATTCCCATTCTTCCAACAAAAGCAAACAAAGCAATGTTGGCTCAGGACATTTCCCTGAACTAAGTGCCACTCCACGGTAAGAAGACCAATGCCTCCAAGGGAGGACGAACACCAGCATCCTATAATGTATCTCTAAGGCTCCAACCCTTTCACTATAACAGAGAAAAATGACTTAGTGTAAAGCTTATTTGTATAGTGTAGACAATGAGATTGTCACAGTATGGACATGGAGTAAAATATCTTCACTGGCCAGTGGAGTTTTTCATAGCAGAATAAGTACACACCTGTCCCTCCCTCTGATGTAGCATAATATACACTCCAATTACCATATAACATAGCCATTAACTATTTACAAATCATCTTGAGAAAAAAATAACCATTTAGAATTTTAAACAATTAAGAAATAATGTCCATTTTTCGATATAAAAAAATCTTAGAAACAACTTCAAGTACATATATCAACCTCAAATAGACTTCCTCCTACTTAATTGTTGAGTACACAATAATTTTTTTTTCTTTTTTTGATAAGTCGGTTGCTAACCTGGTTCAAAACTGAAAGTAAAATGTTGTCTGGTGGATGAATTATGGGCTATAGAAACTGAACTTAAAACCCAACTTGTTTTCAAGATTGAAATTCCACATGGCTCAATTATATATTAAGTTCTTCCAAGACAGTATCAGCATTTACTTTTAATACATATTTAAAGTGATTTGATGTATGTCCTGAAGTGACTGTGCAGGTTGTCATGGATACGTGCCCTTTGATCTGTGGTCGGATAATCTGAGGGTAACATCTTTCGTGGGTTTAAACTGGGATCTTCACAAGCACTGGTCTGCAGAAGATGGTCTGAATAGAAGGTAAGGATGTGTTCAGGGGAAGTTTCCCAACCTTCCTGGGATCACCTGAGTTTGCTAAGTGGCCCTGTTATTCCATCCCTAAGGCTAATTAAGTCAATGTTACTAACAAATAAATAATCACAGATTTTCCTGAGATGTTGACCCAGATAGGAAAGTTATCCCCTCTACCTGATTTTTTTTTTTTTTTGTCATAAAAAGTATTCTGAACCCGATTTCCAAAGATATAACGGCAATATAGGAACTACAATATTGCAAATTTTGAGTTGTACTGTATTGGGGTAGGGGGGAATATAGGCATCAAATAGTTTCTTGATAGTCCCATGTTCTGGAAAGGTTGTAAGCCATGGTTTTCAAACACACACAGAACATGTCAAGGTACAGATGGAAGATTCCCAGGTCTAGCAGAGACCCTGTTGTGTAGACCTGAGATGCTGCCTAGCAACCTGCATTTTAAGCAACTACTCCAGACGGTCCTAATGTGGTTTCTGTACCCAGAATTAAGAAATCCTGGTCCTAAGAGGTACAGGTGCCACAGTAACAATGAGGATTAACTTTCCATCCAAAGAAAACCCATTTTTGCTTTTGTTAAAAACTATTTCTAAGTAGTCAATTGTTCAGGAAACTGCCTGAAGATGAACATTACCTTCCCTAATTTTGTAAAAGGAGGAGTATTAATTTAGTAAAGTAGTCAAAATATAAAAAAATGGATATCTGTCTTTTATTTTGAAGGATCTATTAAACTCCCCTCTATTGTAATCAATTTTTTACTAAATAGTACAAGGTTTAAAGAAATCCATTTTGAAAAGGTCTGGCGTGGGGCTGACACGGTGGGAATCTCAAAACCCCTTGCAAGAGTTAAAAAGAATTTTTGTTTAGCAAAAGTGAAAAATGTCGGGTTACTTTTTCTTCCTTTTGAACTGATGAGATGGGAAGCAGCACAAGGCTTCTGGGCTTTTCTTAATTTGATTATATTTCAAAGAGTCAACAATTTGGACTTTAAAAACCTGTTATGTAGGCTGACTTCTGAGATGGGAAATGAAGTACCCTAATAAAGAGAACAAGTAAACTGCATTAATCCACTATTGATGGAGTCTTGCATTTGAACAAATGCCTCTTAATTTATGACTATAGAATAGTTTCATTCGTAGGCTACTCACAGTTGTTATCTGATGCATACAGAAGTATTAAACAACCAACTTCTAGTTCAATAGTTTCCTCATGACATCTAATGTTAAGCAAAAATTAGTGTGCATATTTAAACATCACCAGTAACCAATACTTTCAAAAATGAAGAAGCTTCAGTTATAGCATGCTTTTCTCAAATCATGCTCTTATTTATACAGATCTCGAGTTCATACTGATTTAATTTTAAAAAGATCCAAAGTGGTATGGCAGGTACACACTATTCTGACTCTTTTTTTATCGAGAGCACGTTTCCCAGAAGTCCATAAACCTCTCCATTTGTACTGTGTGGGCGAGGAGCATTATTTCCCATATGGCTATTGTAAGGGCTTCTTAGATTAAAGAAAGAACCTTTAGTCTCTGCTCCAGGAAGTAACTCTTCTTTGACTGTAACCTGTGAGACACTCTCAGCAGATGATGGCTCCCTCCAGATTTCTTTGTCCTGTGTTTCTCGAGTGGTAACAGAATTGCCTCCCTTTTGAAGCATGTAATAGAGGATTGGGTTAGTCTTGGTCAGTCTTGGAGAGTCTTTTTCATATTCATTCTTACCCATGTCTGTGATGACCCACTTAATGGGTCCCTTTTCGTTGGGCATGGGCATAGAACACCCATTCAAAAGCCCAGGTTCCTGTCTGGACCCCACACAGCCCAAGTGCTCTGAGAAAGGAGGGCTCAGCGGAGTTTTTAGCACTCCTGGGTATGAAAATGTCCTATTATCCACACAACTGCCGGGCTGCGTGGAACTATACATCAATCCATTTAAAGAAGAAAGGTTGAATTCAGGTTTGTTATTGGGCACGTTGGTTTTGTGGCCTTTCTTTTTATTGTCGACAACAGAGTTACTCCTGTGTGGGGACAGGTCACGCACACAGTTCTCGGACAGAAGCAGCTGTTTGAGGACGTTGAAGCTTTTGCTCTCTCTGGCCCAACTCCTATGTTCACTATCGCTGGTTGAACTATGCCCAGCGGGGTACTTATATTCAAGGTCATTTCTGCTAAACTTCAGTTCTTCCTGACTAAGCAAGGGCCCATAGAGTACTTCCGGGGCATTGTGGCTACCCGAAGTCTCTACAGCACTATTTTTCATCTTTTTAAATGGATTTTCTAGTGGTTCTGTATAAAGCTTCCTTTTCTTGGGGACCATGCAAAAGCTCTTTGACTCGAGGTTTGTCAACTCGTTACTCCTGTGACTCCTGTCCTGATCATCTGTTGGGTAACTCTCTTGATTCTGCCTCAGCAATCGACTCAACAGACCGTTCTTGGAGAAAGAAAAATCCTGAGGTGAAGCGGGCTCTGATTTAAAGTCCTCGGACCCCGGTAAGGCAGCTGTACTCCTCTGCATGGCGGGAGCGACACCTAAGAATGGGGCGCTCTTAGGGTCGTGGTTTAAATGCAAGTTTGTGTTGTGAATCTGGACGTCATCACAAGGCTCGGATTTGATTTTCACCATCAGTATTTGTTCGCTTCCAGGCCTCTCTGGATGATGTTCCTGAGGACCCTCATCCCGAGAAGTTATTTTCTCTTTCCTTTCGCTCTTCCCTTTGGTGGAATTTCCCAGGAGCAACTGGAGCACGGTGCGCCTCTCCAGCAGGTTTTCTATTTCACAACCAGGAAGTGCCGGTTCGGGTCCCGCTGGCTGACCACTGAAGGCTTTGCTTTCTTCAGCTGCGTTTGTTTTATTGGAGAGCAGAGGGCAATTTAACCTATCAATCATACCGAGGGGTTTCTCTGGGTTTCCACCTAACAGCGGTTTGCTGGGTCTCTGCTCCTCCGCAGGCATGGAAGACTGCATCCCACACTGTGCCAGGTTTTGTAACAGTTTACTGGCACTAAAGGTTGCCGAATTTTGCGCACCTTCACTTGGGGCTGGTTTCTCTGCCGGGGATTCTTTGCTTTTTGTGAGATCCATCAAGTGGCCAGCCCCGGCGTTTGTGAGTTTTGAAGCGGGAGTACTGCAGGCATAGGGTGAGGAATTCCACTTGATGACCACAGAGTGCTGCGAAAGATTGATGGGCGACTCGGCTTTGGCGGAAGGGTGCAGCGGCGGGGTGCTCACTGGGGTAGTCCTGTTTGTGCTGGGGCTTTCAATGACAGAAGTCCTTGTGTAGTTCTGCGGACTGAACTTCGTCACATCACAGTGGACTTCCTGAGGGCTGGCATTCCTTTCAGGATTGTCTTCACTTTTGTGGCCAAGTAGCAGCTGGAGAAGAGTGACTTTCTGGTGTGAATCCAGCTTGGAGTTTTTTGAGGTATCTTGATCTTCTTTGATGTCCACACCGGGGACTTTGGGGTCCCATGTGTTCAACAAGGATTGAGTGAGGTTCTCAAGAGAAACAGGCCTGTCGGCTTCGGGTTTGTCGACGCGGTGTTTGCAGGACAAGTCTATGGGAACGCAATTGGAGTAGGAGCTCTCATCTCCGCTGCTGTCGTCTGTAAAACTGGGATTGTTGTCGGAATAGTCATCAATCGTGGTGGGTGTGCTACTCTCTTCGAAACTGCTTCCTCTCTCATTCTGGCTGTGCCCATTCATGGGCGTGGGTATGGTCTGGCTCTTGAGAAGGTGTAAAAGCAAACTGTTATTAGCGGCTTGCTTAATGTTGTTTCTTTCCAGTGAGTTTTTATAGCCCGTGTTTTTGGGGGAAGAGGGAACAACAGCCATTGGATTCTGAAATGTTGTAGGGTTATTCTTGCTTGCCACCGGTTTGCTTGATGATGACGTTCTGGCCTGCCCATTGAGATGGCCAGACACCCCTTTGGGGAGCTGGAAACTGCTTAGTTCCTTCTGACCATTTTCTTGCAGTCTGGCCATGGCGGCGAGCCTTTCGCTTGCGGCTTGATGCGCATTCTGGGTTTTTAGAGCGTGTTCCCGAGAGTACTGCTGCAGATGGGCCTCGCTCGAAAGCAGCAGTGCTAACTGGCTGCAGGCAACGCTGGGCTTGGGTGAGGTGGCAGGGCTAGCCCTTTTTTCCACCATGCTGGCAACGGCCTGTAATCTCGCAGCACATGACAAGGGCTCACTCATGACCTTTGTCCCGCTCTGTCCGACATGGTGCGGTGACTCCACGAAGTTATCTCTGATGAGGTTTTTAGTCACATCAGGGAGGGTGGCACCTGCCTTCTGATCCTTGGTTTTGCTTTTTTTTAACAGAGTCTTTAAGTGACTTGAGGCCACGCCGTAGCACCTTAAATCCTTTTCCACTTTTAAGGGATCGTGACTGAGGGCATAGCCTTGCTCTTTGAGGCTCTGTCTAATTTGCTGTGACAGAGCAACAGTCTGTAGCCTGGAGCTGAACGACTGGAGCAAAGAGGCCAGTAACGTGCTATCCTGCTTGCCTTTGGGCACACTGTCAACCATGCCAGCCAGCAAGGCTTCCTTCTTTACGTTTAAATTCACGATGGAATCAGACAGCCTCTTCCGCTTTGCCGCATTCCAGTCCTCGGAGGACTGGAGCAGTCTGGCTTTTTTGAGATGCAGCATGCCAGATCCCTGGTATGTGTGTGTACTGAGAGTGGGACCATTGCTTTGACAGGTGGGAAACGCACTGCCAGGGAGGTTAAAGTTCTGCTCTGCTTCCTCGTGGCCAGCAGACTTTTTGTCAACGGCAGTGCCTGATCCCCCTGCTGCCTGATGCATTAGTAATCCTTCTAGGTAAGTTAAAACAATGGAATCCTGATGCACATCAGAGCCAAGCTCTTCTCCATGAGTCATGTTCAATAGGCGTGTTCACAGGGGCCCGGCTTCTGTTCACTTTAAGGGTGCTTTTCTTTTTGTCTGTGCAATCCAACTCCAGGAAGTCAATGTCAGTCGATCACCTTCCCTAGCCGTCGGAGACTGGTGTGCTGTCACATTCTGACCAGGATGTCATCTGGCAGTGGCGGGTAAGACGCATGCAAATTCCAAGACAGACCCCAGCGCTGATCAGCAGCTAGGCAAGGAGCAGCTGGAGAGCTCCCTCCTTAATACAGAGGTGTGCAGTGGCATGCAGGTAACACTCCTTAGGGAATATGCTGTTTTTATTTCTTCATCGTTTGTTGTTCACCAAATGCACGTATCGGTATCTAAAAATATGTAAATAAAAATAGTTAAGGAGGTACAGAACCAGGTCATGCTTATTACCTATAAGGAACATAATACAGCATCATGAGGTTATGTATACAAATTATACATATATATACTGTGCACACATACACATGGCAGCCAGCCACATGGATCAGATGTGTGATTTGTAGGTAAGTCCTCTTAAAAACACTTCTTTGCAACTGAAGGATGTGATGAAGGCTTGTGAACATCTGGGCAATTATTCACAGCATAATTTGTAAATGGGCTCCAGTGTTGTATTCACTTACCTTGTTCATTTCCTACCTCACCAGAAGAACCTGATGACAGGCTAATAATAATCATTTCCTAAATCCAAAAACACATTGGATGTTTAGCTTAACTTCAGGAACAACAATAACAACAAAAAAAGACATCTAAAAACTCCTTCAGAACGAGGCCAATTCCGCTAATTGTAATTAGCACACAAAGCACACTAGACAGAAAACCTCATATATTAATTCTAGAAAGGAAAACAGTTATAAAAACACACATGCAGGAACACATGTTCTTGCCCTCTGAAGTCTGGATGACTGCGAAGCTAAAGGACTGAGGTCCCAACTGTAACCTCATCTGCATCCCACAGGGGAATGGCAGGAAGAGGCCATCCTGAGTGTTCACCTTGTTCAGATTGATGTCTGAATCTCTCCACTTGCAGTCTTCATGGAGACTGTTTCAGGACTGTGGAATGATATAAAAACGGGAGCTGTGATAGGGATCGACAGCACTGGGTAAGCTGAGCCAGTACCCACATTCCTCGATCAGTCTCAGCATAACATCCTTTTCTCCCTAACCCTTCTATTTCTTCTAACATGCTCAATAGATAAGATACATTTAAAAAGTAAATTGATCCAGAAAAAAATTTAAGACTGCTTTACATTTTTAAGTAGAAAATTTAGTAAAACAAAGTAAAACAAAAAATGTTCTTTAAAACCGTTTTCATTTCTTTTTTGCCCAAAATACCAAAGAGAGTTGATAGTGGCAGGGTTTCTGATACATAAATCATAAGCTGAATGCTGACTCCCTACCCCTGTGGTCATGAATGATGATGATGTCATTGGCTTGTATATGCCACCCTTTGACTAACGTGTTCAGATATCTTAATAGTCAGGTGGTTTTTCTCAAACTCAAGAGTTAAAAGAGTGAGCAATGTGGTTCTAAAGATAACAAGAGATACAGTGTTTTCATCCAATTAGTCCCTCAGTCGGAGGGACTTCATCATTCAGTGTTCTTACTAGCTTGAAGCGGGGACCTATTTGTCTACCACGTTTATGCAAGCATCTTCCAGACTTTCAAGATGTTGAGCGCCAAAATTCATGAGAGCCAAGACAAAAGATGTTAGAAGGACAGAGATGTGACAATGAGATCACTTATTGCACTGGTTACTGCGGTTACAGCTAATCTTAAAAAAAAAAAAAAAAAATTTCCAACTATGAGATAGGTTTCTGCCATCTATGCAGAATAAGAAGATGTTGCAAGTTTTCAAAGGTACACATTATAAACAGAAAATGAAAACAGGATTGAATTATGACTTGTGCTTAATGAAAACTTTTAAATGTGAGTAACAAAGTGGGATCTTGGAGAGTCTTTACATTCTGAAAGGTGATGCAGTTCAACGGGTTACACAATGGCTCTGCAGATGGCTTTTAATGGTGAAGACATTGCAGGATTGCCTCATTTTGCTGGGGACTCAATTAGTGTTCTTTTGTCTTTTTAAGTACAGCAAACTGCTACGAGAGTTCATCTTGTCATCTCGGTGCTATTGAGAAACACCTAGATTATTAAAGTCTGGGTGGACCTGTGAGAACATTCCCAGGGAGGATTAACTACATGGGAAGAGCCACCCTGGATGTGGCGAGCACCATCCCATGGTCTAGGACCCCAGGTGGGATAAAAGTGGAAATAAGAGGCTGCACAGAGCACAGACTCTGCTCCTAGCCACTGTGATGTGAGCCTCTCTCCATCCAAAAGGCCAAAACCTTTGCAAGTGTGAGCTACGTAAGCCTAAACGTTTCTATTCTTAAGTTGTTTTGCTCTGATATTTTGACACAGTAGCATGAAAAAGTCTCACACCACTCCTACAACAAGCAAAATGGCAAAAACAAAAAACAAAACAAAACTACAACAACAACAAAACACTTAAAAGAAGAAGAAAACTCATTAAAAAATCACAAAAGTATTCCATTATAAACACATTCCTGGGGCTGGAGACATAGCTCAGTGTTAAATACTTGCTTCAGATGTACAATGTATAGCCCAAGGCCTTGGGTTTGATCTTTAGCACTACATATAAATATGTACACACACTCACACAGATCGATGGAACTTTAAAAATGAATTTCATGTAATGCAATATTTATTACCACTACCAAACTTTTAAACAAGTCTTAAAAACTAGAACTGGGTCTAAAGACCACATGATAGTGCTCCAGGTACTAATTCATTTCACAGAAATTTAATGCAATTCATGTCAGTTAGTCAATATTAAAATTGTAAAGTAAACCTGCTTTTATTAGTTTAATATTGTTTATAAGCATACAAGTATCTTTTAGATCTTCCTTATGAAAAAAATTACTGGTTCAGTATTACTAGAAGGAAAGAATAGTATTTCTGAGAGAATTCTAAAAAAAAGTAGATTAAACTATGAAAAAGTTTATGGAATCTTAATCATATGCTTAGATTGATATTTCAACACATGGAGTGTCTTAATGAAATACCTATCAACGTTTGAACTGTACGAGTATATTTTCAAAAATAATGCATTTGGGTAGTTAACAAAGTCCTTGAAAAGTATTAAGTTTAGCTAAAAGTATGTGTGTGTGTGTGCGTGTAAGTGTGCTTTTGTGTGTGTGTTTTACAAGGGATCTCTCAATAAAAAATAGTTGCAAGTAGTTCATATTTGAGGATTTCACAAGTGGGCACAATATTGATTCCTTGAAGTAATTAGATTATTTCCAAAGTGATGTCTTATGTTCTCCATTCAGAAATTATTTATCAAGAGAGGAGAAATTTTGCTATAATTTTATATACTTCAAAACAGTGAAACCAAATACTGAGGTTGTATTTAGATATTGAAAAATATAGCTAACTGAATTCTTGCTTGTAAGACTATCTTTGGTTGAAGATAAATTATAAAGACCACTAGCCAATTGCTTTTAGATTCAATATCTTCCTTTCAATCAAATTCTCCATTTAAAACCACACTTAAATGACTTGACATCTATAATGCCACATAGCATGCTGTTTAAAATAAGTCTAAGGACTCCTAAATTGCTCTCTACTGGAAATGGGAAGGACACATTTACAGATTTTTGCCTAAGGCCACCGTTGCTCCTAATTTCCAGATCCATGGCTTGAACTTGCCTGTTGGGGGCTTGCACAGGTTTAAAATTGTCACCTAAATTCCCCATTTAAAAAAGCTTCCCTGGGAGACATAGCTGCTTGACTAACTCAGTGTTCACCACAGGCTGGCCTATGGAGGACCTCTGCAACTCTCCATGATCCCAAGCAATTTGTTCAATTGTAGTTGACTGAGAAACATGCACTTTAACCAGAAGGATATTCTGTCAAAAGAGTTGTACAAAAGATGAAACACATTTTATGACCTTCTTACTGAATCCCACAGGAAGGAAATGGTTTGAAGTCCACTCAATCCCCACCAATATTTTTTATTCCCCCACATTTTATTTCCTGAAAGTCCAAATATTTTAAATTTGTGTTTATTTAAAAGCTAAATATGAATCTATATTCACATTAGAACTTTTACCTATTTCATAATGGTTAGAGAGTAAATAAAATGCCAAGAAAATATTCAGGATCTTTGAGTACCCAGATAAATGCAAGAGAGATGATGACACGCACAGTCATCCTGGTGACAGACAGGAGTATGTCTAGTTGATGTAATAGAATTCTGAACAGTCTTTAGAAGACTTGAAACAACAGAAAAATAATCACTGACAAATTACTTTGGTAGTACTAGTTTCTTTTTTTCTTTTCTTTTCTTTCTTTCTTTCTTTCTTTCTTTCTTTTTTTTTTTTTTCTAAGTCTAAATCCATAATTCCACAGAGGACAGTTTCTTAAGGCTCTCTTTAACCTTTCCTCAAAGGACACAGTCCATTCTGTTAGTTTTCAAAGTCTATTTCCCAATCTCTATCAAAATAATGAGTATCATGGAAGACCAGCCCCTTTCTCTAGGCATTGCCTGCTTATAATATGTGTACACAGGGACATCTTTTGAGGTTGAAACACAATTTCCACTGAACTCAACTACAGCTTCTCCATCCTTAAAATAGATGTGACATACAGATAGCAGCCCAAGCTCAAGGTCACAGATCAGCAAGAAAGATCACCAAGAGAACTGATGTAACAGCTGGCATTTGATCAAAACTCCAGGGTTTCCAGTACACTTCCCAGACATTGTGCCTTTACTCATAAGATATACTCTACTTTAAAAATATTCCTTACATTCTGAAGATAAGATCTTCATATATGGTGTTCATTACAAAGCATGATTCTGCCTCAAATCAAGAGTAGGAGAATTCTTTGTGTCTCAGAATTCTGAATGTGTCCTTGTGCAGATACATATGCATATCTAGGCTTGCCTTTTTTTGTTTGTTGCAATTCATCTTTCTCATGTGGTAACTTTGGAAATAAACTTAACTTGCATATGTCCCTAAACACATCCTGCTCCCTCACAGGTTCAATGTATATGAGATTGAATTTAATACTGAATTTCCCAATATTTCAGACCATGTATAGATTTAATTGTTAAGATAGTGGTTCTACAGGAATGTTTTGTGATATTTACATCACAATTTCCAGCATATATTAGGGAAGAAAATTTAGTTATCAACAATTGCTACAAAAGTGCTTTATAATGGAATTATTATCAAGGTGCAATTACCTAACAAAATCATGGGCATGCAAGGAACAGGGTACAATCACAGATCTGTAAGTTAATTTT